GATGAAAGATTTAAGAAAAAACAGATTTGCATGAGAGGAAAAATTACAACAAGCAGCAACAAAGTTCAGTCACAAATCAAAATCCCTGAGAGAAAGCAACCAATTAGTATTCCCACTGACAAATCAGAGACCTCCAGTCTTATAAAAACCTACATTTAACACATCAAATGATTTTAAAAAGTTCTTTGTTAGGGAAACTCAATCAAATTTCACTCATTAAATTCAAGGCCCACAAATAAACCCCATAATTTTCCTAGACATCATTAACTAATTGTATAGCTGACTGACCAGTAAGTACAGTATGTAGCAGTGTAACTAAATACAGTATCAATGCATACTCTCTGTACATGTGTACAGTCAAGGTTTTGCAATGGCAACATCAAGTCATCTTACCCAATGACCCGTGTTCCATCCATGCTGCCCTCGCTCTCCCCCAGGTATCCATACACGCTGTTCTTGTTGTTCCACTGCCGCACCAACCCGCTGACGGTCCTCGCCGTCTCAGGTTCGGAGCTGCTAGCCGTTGTGCTGGCTGACAACTCGGCTCCAGAGTCTGTAACTGGGGGAGTCTGGTTCCAGCGGGCCACGCGTCCAGCCACGCGATCTGACATGGGCTTGGCCAGACGCCGCAGGGCCGTCACCTCCTGCGTCTTCCTGCGCAGCACCATCTCCTGCTGCCGCTTCTGAGACTCCAGAGCTCGAATCTGGTACTGATGGGCAGGAGGGAGAGAAACACAGTACGTTTATCATTCAGTGTTCATCTACGTGTCATTTAGATTCCTGAGCGGAGACAGCTCACACGGCAGACTTACAAAGCATTGATCATGAAGTGATTTTAAGACGCAGATGAAACTCTAAATCAAAGGATTGTGAATGAGGTCTACAGTATGACAGTGTAAATGTTTTCATGCTCATTAATAAGTCATGTCCTCCAGGGAACACAAATAAAGATGGAAGTTAATACATGTAGAGAATGTACTAATCTTCCAAACATGAAAGTGATACCAGCAGTCTGTGTGCAATATGTACACGATACATAAATGAGGTTTCAGTGTGCCAGGCTGACAGATGGATGTGCATTTACAACATTCATGCATGAATGACTCTTGATATACATTAGAGGAATTTGACTTTGGACGACGATGACACAAGCTCCAGTATATTAAAGCTTACACTCACTCATATATGGAAAACATTTCCCTTGTTGTTGTGTCATGAGCTAACTGTGACACATCTCCACCTAATTTCCCAATAATAAAATCCTATCCTCAAAACTGTTAACAAATATAAGGGTACATATTTCCCCCGTCCCCATATACACAGTTGCTGCCCAACCTCTTGTCGTCGCTGCTCCTTCTTGAGCTGGGCGATCTCCCGGTTCCTCTTTGCCTCCACCATCCTCCTCCTCTGCTGCTCCTCCTTCATCTGCTTCATCAGCGTCACCTGAAAACAGGGGACAAAATTACCTTCAGAGAACATCCATTGACCTTGCTCCCATTCCTCCCTACTTTCTCTCGTTGCGCTCTCCTTACTTTGGCTTTCTTCATCTCGTTGACTTCGGCCTGGAGTTTTTTCAGCTCCCTTTCGTACCTCCCCTGGTTTTTGAGGAGGCGTGCGTGTTCCTTCTGCGCCGCTTGTAGCTTGAGCAGGTCACGGTTCATCTCCTTTAGACGTTTCTCGTACTCCTGTTTGATCTTGTTGGCCTTCTCCTCCGTGTAGTTCTCCATGGACACTGCACAAACACGTAATAATGTTAAAGGGCTATTGTCAGGATACTTTAACTTACACAACACTTTTAACTCAGTGAATAAATAACTTTACTCACTGAGGTTCTGCAGCACACGGTCTCTCTCCAGCTGTGTGTCTCTGATCTTGTTTTGCAGCAGGATGAGCTTCTCCTCATACTGCAGCTTTAGCATCAGTAGCCTCCGCTGACTGTTCTCCAGCTCGTCTATCAGCTTCTGCTTGATTTCAATCTCGCAGGTCAGATCTGCCAGGTCCGCTTGGAAGTTGGCTGCAGGTCAGGGAGTTTCAAAGAGACTTTAGGCCCTATTCTACATTTTTTGTACATTATGTATATACGTATATTTACAAAAAGGTCCAAATTGGGCCATCATGCTGCTAAATCTAAAAAGCTTGTTTTGTATTCTTATTGACATCAAACCTAAAACTTACATAGGCATTTGTTAATTCATGTGTTTGCTTATTTTTGTCTCTTTCTAGCTTCAGTCTCAATAGTTTGTCAAATTGAAAAGAGTTCCTAATTAGAGAGGACAAGCTATAAACTATAAATGCACAAAAAGGTCAAGTTATTTTATAGGAACAGTTGTCAGAAACACACCTTTCTCATCAGAGTCCGAGTCTGAATCCACCAGGCTCTCATCACTGTCGAACTCATCCTCCTCCTCCCTGCACTCCTCCTCGTCCTCCCCCTCATCCTCATCACAACCACTCTCCTCCTGCAGCGGAGACATGATGTCCTGCACGCAGAAACACACGTAGAAAGTCCATCAAGACTTTGTTCTGTGTATTTAAATGCTTAGAACTGAACACATCTACGTGAGCCTTACCTCGGTATAATTGTCATCTGAATCGATCTCTCCGTTCTGTCCGTTTTCTCCACTTTGCCCGTTCTCTCCGTTCTCGTGAGTGTGCAGCTTTACTCGTTTTTTCAGCCCTTTCTCCAACTCTGGACTGCAGGAGGAGAAAAGCATGTCGGTCAAGCCAGGTAAAAGCCGGCATTTAAAGAAATATGCATGGAATCGCTTACAGGGATTTTCCAAAGAAATTCCCTCAGTTAACCTTACAGTTGTATCCCCAGAAGAGTTTTGCCCTGCAGGAACACTTTGTGCGAGCGAGATGGCACGCGCTCCTAACATTCACCATTAGTGCTGTGGGAGTGTTGCCAAGTGATGTGCTTATGGCAAAATCAGCCCTCTAGAGTCATTAGCAAAGTCTTCTTCAGCTCATCTACTCTCAGCATGCCCTTTTAGCTCTTAAATTTTATTACCAATTTTATTTGCCCCTTTGCTCCCTCTTTTACAGTGCTTACCACCCATCCCATCTCCAAATTCCTGTCTCTACGCCATTAGACCTCAATTAGCCTGTTAGGCTGCGTGCTCCTCTCTCATGACCCAATGGCCGAACGACTGAGACAATTTTGTCCAAGCCAGTTGCTACTACTCAGCATTGGCAGCATCCCAGTTCTATTTGGGAGCAGGCGGTCCCAAAGCCCTAATTGACTTGTGATGTGGCTCTTAAGGAGAAAAGTAATGAGGAGAGGAGAGTATATAGGCAGGAAATAATATGTACTCATAATGCTTTCTCAGCTTTTAAAACATGCACAGGTTCAGCTTAAGAGGAGCAATTAGAAATTAAATTTGCGTAAAGCTGAGATGTTTGGAGATATAAAGACCTGACAGCTTCTCTGATTCTGTGACATTTCCGTTGACCTCGGCCCTGATTTGTTCTACATTTAATAAAGTTTGCGTCTTTCTCCCTTTACCTCATCCTCCTCTGTCTCCTCTCCTTCTTCTTCAGCCTCTCGATGTCCAGCTTGGCTCGGCGTAACACGTCCGTCATCTCAGCCTCCATGGACATGGGGGCAGGGGAGGATCCAGGAGGGTGACCGGGGGCAGGGCTGAGGCTAGAGGCGGGGAACGGAGAACGTGCTGAAAGCCGGGCCGCCTGGCGTCGCAGTGATTCGTTCATGGACTCGCTCTCAAGAAGTTTGGTTCTGACCGAGGAGGAAACAGAAAGAGACAATGGAGTTCTTCGTATTCATGATGTCTTTCTGCTTGGTTTGGAGACTCGACCCAAGTAGTCACAAGCTAATTAAAGCAGTTAAGACAGGTTTCTTCCAGTAATTATGAATCTTCTGCAGTTCAATCCACTCTCAGCGGCATGTGGAAGCTTGTTTCAGTCAGCATTAGCAAGCTGTAGAAAAATATTACAATGAAAATGACACTAATGAGTCAGTTCACTTATTTTATGACTATTCTCTCCTTGTGGGATTGTTAAGTCTCTGAAACCAGAAACCTGCCGGGTGAGTTTAATTATTTTATTTTATTTTATTTAAATTACCGAAGTTACAGCATTTGTCAGAGCAACAAACTGTAAAACCAGAAGAAAAAAAAAGAGGATTTTCAGCTTTCTAAAGCTCCTGGAACAGTTGTCATTTTCAGTTTCTTTGGGAAAATTAACCAAATCTAAGCTGGTGACATTTTATCAAAATCACGTTATTCTATGTGTCGCTTTTAGAAATTTGCCAAAACAGAAGACTCCACACCCTGACTCAACTGTGACCAACAAACACATGACAAACATTTAGAGAATTCTCAGATGAACTAGGCTGAACTGCAGACTGTGTTTATACAGCGCAGATCGGAGACAAATACTAAAACAAGCTAAATATGGAAGTAATAATTCCATATTGCACTTAGAACTAATTCTGTACATATTGATTGTTGGTTCTTAAAAAATTTTTTGGCAAAATAAATATTCAAAGAAACTGAACTTTTAAGGCCACTTTTTAGAAAAGTAACATAAATGTGTTTGATGAATCTCTGAAGATTAGAGAACCTCCCTCATATCTCTTTAATATAAAGATGGGGGGGGATCACTTTGATTTTCAAAACAATTAAACCAATGAGTTATAATGACGTTTAAAGAAAGAACAAAAAGGCGTCACGGAGGGTCTGAAGTTCTTACCTGAGTTCTTCAACCTCTCGAATATAGTTCTGTATTAGAGTCCCAATCTCCTCATTGCCCTCACCTAGTGGTCAAAGGTAAAAATACATTCAGGTCACACAAATGGAATACTGTGAATTACATTTAGTCACAATCAAGAAAGGTTTCATCGAAGGGGACAGAACTCGTTGTTTGAAGTAATTAAGCATCTCTCTCACGTACTTGACTTGGTGAGCAGAGTGCTGACCTCGTTGGCCAGCAGATGTGTTACACGGGTGTTGAGGTGGTCGATGGTCTCTTGCATGGCCTTAACTCGGAGGCGCAGCGTGTCGTTTTCTCTCTGCAACATGGCATTCTCCTGGTACAGGTCACTGTAGCCCTCTGAACCATCCTCACATGCTACACGCTTCCCCTGCCCAACAAACAAATGACCATAAACATATTTCAGGAGGGGGGGAAAAAAAAGTCAGAGCAGGAAAACAAACCGGTTCTAAATCGGCATTCATACACATATTGGACGCTGCAGGCCGAGAAAACACAGAGCTATTGTTCAAAAACAGTTAAGTCTGTCTGTGGCTCTTTAAGCAGCTATTGTTGAGTTTTGAATGCTTAATACTGAAAAAAACCCTGTTGTGTAAGCGCTCGAACAGAGACTTACTATTTAATCCAGTCACAGCTCGCAGACCTCCACTCATCGAACACTCCATTACTTCCAGACTCCAGTCACATCACATCCCTTATTACCACATCGAGGTCAGCCCACAGCCCTTCTTCATAGTCACTTCCCTCTAGTAACTGTGGTAACCCTCTTAATCCCATAATAGACTGACAACCGAGCTAAATGATTGCTCGTTTTTTTTCAGAGCCCCGGAGGTCAAAGCTGATGAAAAAGTGGAGACTCTTTGCAGACTTTTCGGGAATTTTCTCCCCACTTCTCTTCACATCACACTCCACAGACTCTCTACAGTTCAATAAATTCAGCTAAAGGATCAATTTATGTCTGTGTTACACTGTAAAATGCTGACCTTTCATCCATTAATCTTCCTCTTCGTCAGGTTCTGTTTGCACTATAGAAAAGGCATGCGTGTTCCAGTAATGATCTTTAATTTGATACAGCCATCAGCAGGTCTGCCCTCTGCTTTTATTACATACCCTCCAATACCATCTTCTCCTATTCCCATTAGTGTTGTCTTTAGTCTTATTCTGCTCCGTTACTATTCTCAGATTCATCCATCTTGTCGCCCCTCTCATAGAGCCCAGTTTCATCAGTTACATCGACAGCTACGTGTTATCACTCATTTTCATCTGACACTTTTCATTCCTCATCTCTTCCCTCTTTTCCATTCATCCCCTCTTTTCTTTTCCACTGAGCTCCTCTAGGTTTTTTTTTTCTTCTTTTAACCATGTCTCTCCTTCCCACCATCTCTCCCTCCATCTCTCACCGCCTTGTACTCCATCAGCTCCATCTGGAGTCGGGCTATCTCGGCACGCAGGGCGCTGATCTGCTGGCTCGTCTTGTCCTGGTTCACCACCACCTTGTTCTTGATGTTTCGGGCGCGATTAGCGTACTTCAGCGTGTTCAGCGTTTCCATGAAGTCCCGGTCTGATGGGCTGACGCAGGCGATCATCACTGTGCGGCTGCAGGAGACGAAAAGACATTTTTGGTAAATGTTTGCACAGAATAAGAAGAGTTGTGCCTACAGATCATTGTCATATTGCTACAAGGAGAACATACAGTATAACACTCAGGCACAACATTAACATGGTGTGTTTTCAGGTCAATAACTTAACCAATAAGGTTGCAACTAGCAATTATTTTCACTATTGACTGAGCTATTAATCAGTTTATCTAAAAAATGTCAGAAAACTGCAAAAACAGCCATTTACCAAAGACCAACAAGCTTACTCAGATGTCTTGTTTTATGTGATATACAGTTTTAAATTTGCTTTTATATATAGCACATAAAAACAACAATTTGTCCCTTTGGACCCTCAGATGTTTTTTTAGTGGAAGAATAACGATAATCAAAACAAACTATATATTTTTTTGTCAATAAAGTGACATATTAACTCATGATGAATTAGTGAACATTCTCACTTGTTGACAAAAATTATTATTTTTTCCACAATTGTCCCTTTATTCAATATTGTTTTTGTAATAATAATTATAACATGTTAGTAATTATTTTACAACAGTATGACTTTGTATGTACAGAATGTTGGTACCTGTTGCCTCCCAGTGAGTCTTGTAGCAGCCGGGTGAGTTTGGAGTCTCTGTACGGGACGTGGCCTCCCTTCTTGGTCTGATCCCCTAAAGCACTGATCACATTTCCCAGAGCCAGCTAACACGAGGAGGAAGGACATGCACACAGTATTTAAATACATACAATACAGTGGAAGAACCAATCAATGTACTATCATTTCTTCGTTTGCATGTTTTTTGTCACACCATCCACTGCAGAGTCCATCTCTGTCTCACTCACCAGTCCACAGTTAATAGAGATTCCCTCGCGTGCTCTTTCTCCTGTAGCTCCGGTGCGTTTGAGTCTCTCAGAACCAGCGAGGTCCACAAAGTGGAACTTGGCCATTAACGTCTCGTACTCCGGCTGAGCGATGGGGTTGGAGTCCACACCATTGAGCTCTCCGTTCTCCCCTCCTCCGTTCTGCTACCGGGGGTGGACAAACAAACAAATAAACAAGGAAGTAGGTTGAGAGGCGGTTGCCGAGTTACAGCCTCTTACTTGAAATGAGCAATTATTTCATCACCTTGATTGCTGCTGTGCATGTATTACTAAATTAATTATAGTTTATTTCCATTTTCTCTGTTCTGTATGCTTGCTCCATCATATCCGACTTCTCATTTTTACCATATTCGTATTATCCTTTTCTGCCTCCTCCTGCTTATAGCTGACAGATTTTTATTTAAGGGAGGACGATGATGAAATTGTAATAACACCCACCTCTCTCTCCAGACCTCCCTGTCATGCTTTTTAAAAATTATTTTACCTCTCTCTCATCTTACAAGCGCCCCGACCCACCGCTCCAAACCCGAATCTCACCATTTGCAGCTGCTGACAGACTCTCATTTGACAGAGGTGGATGGTGAAGATGGCGTGCGAGCGGGAGCTTTGGGCGTTCATCTGGGTGCTGGCTGTGGTGCGGGACAGAGCGCCAAGCTTCAGACACTGCAGCAGCTGCAGCACACACACAATGTATAGAGGAAATGTGGTCACTTTTAGTTTGAAGTTAGGAAGAGAAAACAGTGATCAACTCAGAAATAAATAATAGGACAATATCAAACAATTTTTTGTTGCTCGTGATCATTTTCTGGTCTCTGAGAATCCATGGAGGTGAGAACCAGCTCATTCAGTTAATGTCATTGTCCTCCCTGCTTACTTAAATAAGATTTTTCTCCTATTTTAATTTCCCTTTTAATTGTCTTCTCTGCTGGTAAGTTTCCTTCGCCTTCTTATCTCAACCTGCCTCCTTCCTGTCTTCTACTGACTCCATCACTGCCAAACTTCTCTCTCCTCCCTCACCCTGTTTTGACACTTCCTCTCCTCTCTCCCACAGAAGGGCCCATCTGTCTCTATTTGTCTCTCAGCTGTCTAAATTTTGAGGAATTTAAAGCGCAAATGAGCTCTTCCAGATCCAGCCTTTCTTTTCCTTCTCCTTCTGCATCCTTTAACAATCTGCTCACATTCTTCTTTATACTTCATCCCTTATATTAAAAAAAAACTCAGTAATTTTAAAAATGTCTCATCTAAGCCAATATTTACTGTAACCCTTCCCCCCAAAGCACCACCTGCCTTCTCTGTTAACCTCTTTAGCAGACAGTCCTCGTGCCCCACTGACCCCTTCATGTCCTCCTTCCTCCAAGCTGTCACAGCTGATCAGCTCACATTCATGTCAGCTATTACTCCTTTCTGATATAGTATGTCTGTACACGAGCCTGTCTTTCAAGAATGTCAATGCAATACCACTCATTTCTACATGATCACTTTACAGTCATGGGAAACAAATCAGAGCATTTATGATCTGAGCTTTGTACTTTGCAGTCCCTCAAAACTGCTGATGTCAAACACAAGATTTTAAAAAAAAAAATACAGTTGGTATTTTTTTTTCATGCTTTTGCATGAAATTTAAGACAATCTGAAGGTATTTAAAAATGGTAGATCAATACTTAATGAGGGCATTATTTTGCAAAGAGCCTTAAAATAGCATTGTGCTAGGTACCAGAAATAAACAAGCATTAATGAAAACTATATGGCAGACCAAACCAAGACAGATAACTGTTAGATGTGGATATAAATATAGATATACTGACATTCATATAGATACAGATATATAGATATAGATTCAGAATCTGTATCAATATCTGTATGAATACAGATTCTGTATCTATATCTGTAAATAGAGATACAGATATAGATACCAATATAGACACAGATTCAGATCAATAGATAAGAGATTCAGAATCTGCATCCCTATCAACAGTGTATCTCTGTGACAGATATAGGTACAGAATCTGTATCTCTATTTGTACATCTATTACTGAATCTGTATCTACAGCTGTAATATAGATACAGATATAGATATAGATATAGATATAGATATAGATATAGATATAGATATACCCCACACATGGACCCACCTCCTCCTCTGTGTGCACCAGTCTAGAAGTGACTCCAGTGGTGTAGATGCTGCCACTGGCATCCTCATGGATCTTGATGTTGGACTTCCTGCTCCGACTCTCAGGATCTCTGGCTCCGTCAAACAAGTCCAGGATCTCCTCATTGTACAACTACAGCAAACACGTACCCCAGCACATTAGCAAACATGGTGCAATTTAAGCATTGTTGGTAAAACAGCGACACACTGAATTGTTGCATAAATGCTAAAGTAATTTTATGTCGTAAACCTGATCTTTTAAAGAATCAATAGTTGAGATTCTGTTCTTTTCTCAAATCAGCGTTTCTTATTTACGAACAGCTCTGCGGCCACAGAGGTCGAACTAATGACCTCTCAGAAACCACTGAGGGTAGGGGTCAGGGAGGTCGGCTGAAAGCTCAGCTGTTCCCACCTACTGCCAAACACACACACACACACCCATCTGTTTAACATCAACAAAGATAACCTTTTGACCTGAGAACCTACCAAAAACACACTGATGACAAGGAGCAGGACAGACAGAGTAAAGAAATACAAACAAAGCTAGACTATTCTGTTCTGTATATTGTATTGTGTTTTCATAATACAATTTCTATTACGGTATGATTATTAAAGTAATCCAATCATGCACACACCCACGCATATAATGGTAAGGGCCCCAAACACAATCAAACATTTGCCTGCCAGAAACCCCTGGAGGAAATGATTACTTGTCATATTATCTAATTTCTCCTACACAAGCATCCCTCCCTCATTCTCATCCCTCGTTCTTATCTGTCTTCTGGCCCACAGTGATGAGGAATAATGTCAGAGGTAATGGTAAACATTAATCAGGACCAACAAAGCACAAGCAGACATTCCTGCCCATCTGTCTTCAGGTTGTCACATCCTGTTTGTGGAAGAGGGGGCTGATCCCCATTTTGTCCCATCTGGTTAGAGTTAATATGGCCCAATATCACACACACACACACACACACACACACACACACGCCGGCAAGCAGGAACATCAATATGGAATAATTAAAACAGATCAAGTAATTGCGTGTCGCCTACCTCCAGGAACTGGGCGCTGACTTTAAACTCGGGTGGCTGGGAGCCGGTCTCCTGGGCACGAAGCCTCCTGTTCTGGATTCCCTCAAACAGCTGGTGAACAGCCCGAGGGATGATGCCCTGCTCCTGCTGAGTCAGGCTCACGTCGAAGCCCGTCCCCATGGTGTAGGTCTTCCCTGAGCCCGTCTGAAAACACATTTCATCAAAGACAATGAGATCGTATTTACACTCCCAACAGCATCCCACATTTATGAACAGCGACCAGCGTTTACGTGCATGTAGTGGGAGTTTCAATTAACTGTGTCAGTATGTGTTTAAATATGCACGGCGTGGACTTCAATTGACATTTTTTTGTTTTGTTTTGTTTTTATGTTATTATTTATTACATATTTGGGGTGTTAACAAAGCCTATACATGCATTGAAGAATGTCTGTGTTTTTATAAGTTTTCCAAAAAGTACCACATGACCAGACTATTTTTTTTTTAAATGCTGTGCCTCCCTAAAAAACAAATAATGATAATAAAATAAAAATGAAATAACAAAAACTTCAAGACACAATGCCAAAGATGGGAACTATGCAAAAAAAAAAGTGTATGAATTTTAAATCCTGTGTCACCACCCATAACTTATTCTGGGACATAATTAATTTAATTATGTGAATTTCTCCACCGTGAGATTAATAAAGGCATATCTTATCTTATTTGCTATAATCATTTTGAACAGTGAAAAAGATCAGAAAACATGTGGTGCTATTTTTCTAAGATGGCCCCAGAGGTCTGGATTAAATGCTCAATGGGACGATCCTGACTGCGTGTTAAAGATGTGAGTATGTTCCCCATCTGTGAGATTCATCCTCTCAGTGTAACAGGTTGTGTTTTTCTTTTATGTTCACTTGTTTTTTCTTTCCTCCATTTTTTTGCACCACTCTCATTATGCTCAGATGCCACATTGTATGTAAATTTCCAGTGCAATCATTAGCATCTGTATCCAAACAGAGAATATATTATAAAAGCTTCCACAACTCTCTGTTATTAATTAATTATAAAAGAAATTCTCAAATGTAAAGACCTCACTGTCATACCTGGCCATAAGCGAACACGGTGGCGTTGTAGCCCTCGAAGCAGCCCTCGATGAGCTTGTACACGCAGGCCTGGTAGATGTGCTGCTGCTCTGAATCGATATCGAACACGAAGTCATAGGTGAATGCCTTGTCCTTTCCCAGGAGGACTTGTGGCTCTCCAGGTGTGACCAGCGTGCACACATGGCAGCCTTCTATTTTCTCCTTGGCCATCTGAGGACGAATCCTGTCAGAAGACGAACAGAAGAACAGGAGGCTCAGTTAATGGATAAAATGAATACATGATCAGAAATTAAAAAATGCTAAGTGAGTTCCGTCACACAGCTCAGCAGAAAAGCAACTGATTGAGCCTGAAGTGTTTTAATGTTTGAATGCATCATGCAGATAAAGCGTGACAATCTGATCCGACACAGCAGACATGCTGTAAACAAGCAGCAATGTGAATATGACAGCACAGTATGAAAAGCTTGTGAAAAGATGTCCACATCAAAGGCAAAACTTAAAATAATAATCAGTTTAAGAAATACCGCCTTAAATCACCATGTTTAATTATAGCAGACATTTAATCGCAGATGCCTCTGGCAACATAAAAACATAAACAAAATTAGTTTTTTATTCTGTTTTCTGCTGTTTCTACAATGTTGTCATTTTCAAACTTTAACCATAAAACTGGGTTGCAATGGGAATCCATTATACGCTACATGTTTTGACATGCAAAATATCGTCGTCCCTTTTAACCCATCAACTTATACCAGAGATGATCATCCTGATAGTTTAGTTAAGCTGCATACTACATGGCATGAAATGCTCTGAGCAGCGAGCCCCTGTTTCAACTCCTCTCCTCTCTTTACCCCACATTTTGTTGTCTGTCTTCATTGTTACTATCAAATAAAACCGTAGGGCTTCCATAAAGCCAAATAACCACAAAATAATGTTGTGTTTTTAAAAAGTACAGTGCACTCCTCTAACAATGACATAAACAGATAGAAATCGATGCAGCTGAACCAGAGATCATTGGGTTTATTCCACACTGTTTCCTTGGCAAAACCAGACACCAACCAATTCACAAGGCAACTCGACTCACTTGAATTCACATGACTACAGATTCACTAGTTGCTGCTCAAGTAGCCTGGAGCCTCCAGCCTTAAGCAGAGATAAAGAGCAGCTTATGAAAACTGAAATAAACAATCACGGTTAGTCATGTGTTAATGGTTACTGCACAAAGCTTCCACTGCTCCACTTTTCTGCAGTCCAGCGTGGATCAACACACAACTTCAGAATGTTTGTGTGAGTTTTTCCAGCTGAAGCTGCTCTGATTCTGGACAAACTAAAGATTTTTAGAGCATTCATCAGCTTTTGCGAGTTGGAAGGTCTTTCCTTTTTTCCAGCTGTGGCCACAGCTGAATGTCAGTGTTTGCCAGAGTGTGTTTTTTAAATCCTCCGTCTTCCCAAGTTGCAAATTTGGCCTAGAAAGCTACTTGTGAAATCATAAAAGCAGGATGGAGGCAGTTGAGGTGACTTTACAAGATTCACTCAGTAACTGGACATAATTTGATCATCTGAAGATCCAGAGTACATGTTGTGAACTACACCTGAATCCTAAAAACACTGCTGTCTCTGCTACCACTGGCCCTTTCATTAACTTGAGTAGATTTTTATTATATGCTGTATTTATGATTGTTTGATAGTTATTGGGGAGTAATGGCTGGTTATACTGGGATTTGCTACTCAGGAAAAACAATCATTGATCCTTAAAACCCACTGAAGGGCTATCATGTCACTGTGTCAAAAAGCCAAGCACTTTTTTAATCACTGTGCCTGTGTTTAGTCATTATAGCAGCACACAACACTGCCACCATGAGTCAGAGGTTATCTCTTGTAAACTGGAAATAACAAGAATTAACAAAGTGTTATTTCAAAAACTTACATTATTTCATGAACTGGGTGTCCAAAGGTGGAATATACATACAAATTAAGAATACCAGGGAGTTCAGTGCTTATATTTAAATCAAAAGGCAGGGTGTGATACAGTCGCAGGTCACTGACTACATGAAGAACGCTTTGCGTACCGTAGTTCAACCCCCAGCTGAACCTTTGCTGCCTGTCATTCACCTTTCTGTCTTTTCCCACATGTTCTGCCTTTGTCTACTGCCACTGTCGTATAAAGGCAAAATGCCAAAACTAAGTGGCAAAGAAACTTCACTTTGATTGACTGGTGGAGCAAAGTAAATCTGTGGCTCAAAAAAAAAAAAAGCAGGATGTTCACACAACTTTATAGGCTGGAACTAAACAGAAATCCATGACGGATGAACAACGCCGAGGACAAAGTATACACATTATCACCACATTTGTTTGTGCTGTTCATTTAGAAAGTCAGAGTTGAAAATGAGTAGTGAGGCATGAAATGGACAGTTGTGAGAAAAGACTAATACAAGCAGGGCCACTGATGATGATAAACCAGACAGGCGCATAAGTCATTATTACGGCGGCCGTTAATCCTTCTGCTGAGGACTCCGGGTTCTGCTGGGTTTTCCGCCCTGACAGGTAGTTCACTGCAGTTAATTGCTTTCACCTGACATCCCGGTTGTAAAATAATCCCTGATTAGATGAGTCCAAAAGAAAGCATCCACTGCTCCAGAACATCTTTGAACTTGCTGACAGAATGAGGGCCGAGTATTTAAGTTGGGGGATAATTTTAACTTGTTTGCCAGCAGAACGGCAGAAAAGCCTCGCAGGCAAGACGGCTGATTAATTTCGATAAAGCTGTTAAAAAAGTGACACTCTGTAACACGCCGGTGCTGCAGTGCTGGTTAATTATGAGAAAACATTACGGTGAAATGTTGCTCTCACATAATGCAATGTACATAAAACAGAAGATCTGTCAGGCTGCATGTTAATCTTGGGCTTTCAGAGGTACAATGTGGACACAGTGGGGAGGTAATCACTTTAAGCTGTGGAAAAAAACCATGAGCCAGCAGTATTGAAGCTCTGGGTCCACCACTCCACATGCTAAAGCCCCCCCCCGGTTCAATCTTTAGGGGATGCAAATCAACTCCCACACACACTAAGACTGCACCAGAGACTCCCTATGGGATGCTGCAACAAAGACACCCCCCCCTAACCATATACCATATACAGCTGCATTAGGATAGTGGCCAAACCACAAAGACACACACAAAGCAACTCCAGAAACAAATGCTGTATGCACGCAGTTCAAAAACAACCTACTGTACTATCTTCAATTCACACATGGTTCCTCTCAAGCATGCATTAAGTACCACACCCACCACTAACACTCACAGTAAATCCCTTCACCGCACACTGTTACAGTGCTGCAGACAGAAACGCACGCAGAGCCAACAGCGGCCTTTTCTGGCCCTCATTCAGGCCTTGAGGCATCACTGAAGAGAGTCTTCCCGGAAGGAATTAAATATATTAGAATAGTCCGATTCAGCAGCAGCCGCACGCTTGCCCAGACAACCTTATGACAAAGAGTGTGACTTTGAAAGCAGCTTGCAGACAGATGAGTTCTTTTTATTACTGGATGCGACCTTGACAGTGAGGTTAATGTATCTCAAACCACAGATCTCATATGAGCCGTGTTTAAACCAATTATCAACATAAAGTGGATATGACAGAGGAGGAGCACAATGGAGTTAACAGCAACAGGAAAGGCC